AGACTGTTGATGTCGAACTTCTTACTTCTTTGACCTTCAGTGCACTCGTGGCATCTGGATCTTCTGCAGCAGACTGAAACTATTGCACTTGCTGAAGACAGTGAGATGATTCATGGGTGAAAACAGTCTGAAGGCACTGAGATTAATGAGTCTGGGGCTGGATGAGGTCTGAGTGTGTGTTACGGTGCTGGAATAAAGATGAGAGTTGTAGCAGATGTGACGTAGGATTAGTAACTTGGTTGTGTTTTGTGAGGTTGTGAGGATAAACAACTCAAGAGTGACTGCCGCTGCAGCAGTTGGTACCTGTACCTGTTGGTATCTGCACTGAAAGTGATGGAGAATCTGTCATCCTGGTGTGTAAAAGTGGAGGGTTACTGATGTGGGGATAGTAGTCAGTGACGCTGGCATCCTGGTGCGAGAACTCAAGGCAGAAAATTGATGACTAATGTGGTACAAAACTGTTGGGAGGGCAGGCCAGTCAACATTGACCACTGCTGCAGAAGAAGCATGTGTGCAGGTATCTATGCTGAGGTGTGCTAGAGCCAGCTAGGTTAAGACTGTTTTTTTACAGAATAAAAATTTTATTGTCAATAGAGGGAGATGACACAATGTGAAAAAAGTCATGTTTCTATAAGAAAAATCATGTCAAATAAAGTTTCATTTTTCTTAATAAAGTGGATTTTTATTCAGACATACATTCACTTTTATAAAAACATTTTCTAAAACCTGAGATTAGACAACATGAGCAAGAGAACCACAGCAGTTATCACCGACTACCTGATAAGGCCTCTACACGTTAATGCCAAACAGTACACTGTCCGTTTCTATTAAGAAAACACTCTGAGATATACATCAGCTTAATTCTAGCACGATCTGCTTCATCAGCGTTCCTCCTGAGAGCTTAAAGGTGGTGTTGCCACTCCTAAATGGATGCCATGACATTTCAAATGTGTTAGTTTGCTTCTACAGGCACTTCATCATGAAGAAGAGTACAGTCAAGACTCGATAATCCGACACTAAATGTAAAACCTTCTGTTATGTTGGATAGCAAGGCTGTCGGATTGTCAAGACGGAGGTCCAGAAACAAGGAGGGCTTGATGCTGGAAGGCTCATTAGTTGTTAATTATTGTTCACAGTTGTTATAATAACTAGTAGGGCTGGTTCCAATAGCACTTTCTGGATATTCATACCCAATTAATGATGAATACCTGAATATTCTGTGCAGTCGGGGGACACTTCCACCCCGGGGGTGCGCTCCCGGGCTGGAACACACAGGCAGTACACGTGGACAAAATTGTTGGTACCCCTCGACTAATGAAAGAAAAACCCACAATGGTCACAGAAATAACTTGAATCTGACAAAAGTAATAATAAATAAAAATTCTATGAAAATGAAGCAATGAAAGTCAGACACTGCTTTTGAGTCGTGGTTCAACAGAATTATTGAAAAAAAATAATCACATGAAACAAGCCTGGACAAAAACGATGGTACCCCTTGAAAAGACTGAAAATAATGTGACCATAGGGACATGCTCAATCAAGGTGTGTCCTCTAATTAGCATCACAGGTACAACCTTGTAATCGGCCAGTCGGCCTATTTATAGGGTTACAAGTAGTCACAGTGCTGTTTGGGGACATGGTGTGTACCACAGTAAACATGGACCAGAGGAAGCCAAAGAGTTGTCTCAGGAGATTAGAAAGAAAATTACAGACAAGCATGTTAAAGGAAAAGGCTATAAGACCGTCTCCAAGCAGCTGGATGTTCCTGTGACTACAGTTGCACATATTATTCAGAAAGTTAAGATCCATGGGACTGTAGCCAACCTCCCTGGACGTGGCTGCAGGAAGACAAATCGAAGAGGTGGATAATACGAATAGTAACAAAGAACCCAGAACAACCTCTAAAGACATTAAAGGTGAACTCCAAGGTCATGATACATCAGTGTCAGATCCCACCATCCGTCGTAGTTTGAGCCAAAGTGGACTTCATGGGAGACGACCAAGGAGGACACCATTGTTGAATACAAATGATAAAACAGCCAGACTGGAATTTGCCAAACTGCATGCTGACAGGCCACAAAGCTTCTGGGAGAACGTCCTCTGGACAGATGAGACAAAACTGGAGCTTTTTGGCACATCAGCTCTATGTTCACAGACACAAAAATGAGGCATATCAAGAACAGAACCCTGTCCCTACTGTGGAACATGGAGGAGGCTCTGTTATGTTCTGGGGCTGCTTTGCTGCATCTAGCACAGGGTGTCTTGGATCTGTGCAGGGTACAATGAAATCTCAAGACTATCAAGGTATTCTAGAGAGACATGTGCTGCCCAGTGTCAGAAAGCTTGGTCTCAGTCGCAGGCCATGGGTCTTGCAACAGGATGATGACCCAAAACACAGCTAAAAACATCCAAGAATGGCTCAGAGGAAAACACTGGACTATTCTGAAGTGGCCTTCTGTGAGCCCTGATCTAAATCCTATTGAACATCTGTGGAAGGAGCTGAAACATGGCATCTGGAAAAGGCACCCTTCAAACCTGAGACAACTGGAGCAGTCTGCTCATGAGGAGTGGACCGGAATACCTGCTGAGAGGTGTAGAAGTCTCATTGACAGTTACAGAAATGGTTTGATTACAGTGATCGCCTCAAAAGGTTCCATCCATCCATCCATCCATTCTCTTCCGCTTATCCGGGGTCGGGTCGCGGGGGCAGTAGGCAGAGCAGGTCATTCCAGACCTCCCTCCCCCCGACGACGCTTTCCAGCTCTGCCTGGGGGATCCCGAGGCGTTCCCAGGCCAGCCGAGAAATATAATCACTCCAGCGGGTCCTGGGTCTGCCCCGGGGTCTCCTCCCAGGTGGACGAGTTCGGAAAACCTCCAGAGGAAGCCTCCCCGGAGGCATCCAAAGCAGATGTCCATACCACCTCAACTGGCTCCTTTTGACGCGAAGGAGCAGCGGCTCTACTCCAAGCTCCCTCCGAATGTCTGAGATCCTCACCCTATCTCTAAGGCTGAGTCCAGCCACCCTGCGGAGGAAACTCATTTCGGCCACTTGTATCCGCGATCTCGTTCTTTCGGTCACGACCCAAAACTCGTGGCCATAGGTGAGGGTTGGGACATAGATGGACTGGTAAATTGAGAGCTTCGCCTTGCGGCTCAGCTCTCTCTTCACCACGACAGTCCGGTACAGCGCCCGCATTACTGTTGACGCCGCACCGAGCCACCTGTCCATCTCACGCTCCATCTTCCCATCACTCGTGAACAAGATCCCGAGATACTTAAACTCCCTCGCTTGAGGAAGCGACCCTCCCCCCCACCCGGACGTGGCAGTCCACCGGTTTCTGGCAGAGAACCATGGCCTCGGACTTGGAGGTACTGACCCGCATCCCTGCCGCTTCGCATTCGGCTGCAAACCGCTCCAGTGAGTGCTGGAGGTCACGGTCTGATGGAGCCAACAGTACCAAGTCGTCTGCAAAAAGCAGAGACGAGATCCTCAAAAGGTTGCGCAACAAAGTATTAAGTTAAGGGTACCATCATTTTTGTCCAGGCCTGTTTCATGTGATTATTTTTTAAAAATAATTCTGTTAGACCACAATTCAAAAGCAATGTCTGATTTTCATTGGTTAATTTTCATAGAATTTTTATTTATTATTACTTTTGTCAGATTCAAGTTATTTCTGTGACCATTGTGGGTTTTTCTTTCATTAGCCGAGGGCTACCAACAATTTTGTCCACGTGTGTAAGGGTCATTTTTGTGGCCAGTACCATGTGTCTGCATCTTTGCAAGTAATTTCTATCCATAAACAATAAAAAAGTGCTACATTTATATTGTCAGTTGATCAAATAATTGATTGATACTGCTGCACATATTAAGTAAATTATGTGACGGATTCTTTGTCTCGTTGCTGAATTTACTTTGTCTTCGTTCCANAATTTTATTTATTTTTGAATTGTCCATCAACCCATTTTCAGCATTTTTTCCCCCCACACATTTAAATTTGAGGCCATTTGAATGACAGCAACTCGGGAACCGTTACAGATCAAAACCTCTGTCACTTGCCATCATGTCATTGATTTTGAATCCGCAATATTATACGAGTAGGCCAAACTGGAAGCTGTCATTAAAATCACATTTTTGAGCTCCCATGATTAAAAAAGTGTCAAATTGCAGAAGTCATCTAGTGATATTGTCTGAACAATATGTAGCTGCACGTCACAATAAAACAACAAAACATATAGAATACTCTTTTTTATTGAGTTTTTAGAACTGATTGAGCAGGTTGGTAGAAATTTTTCGGCGAGATAAGGTCAAATTAAAGCTACTGGCAGCGTTGGTCCTCGCCGTGTAGTCCTGGCACTAGTCCATTGAAATTTTCAAGGGGGCGCTGTGGAGCCATTTTGCAATTGACAGCCCCAAATTCCATTGTAATATGAATCGTGTACACCGGTCGGATGTGTGTGCAAATTTTGGTGAGTTTTTGAGTGTGTTTAGGCCTTCAAAAATGCATTTATGTGTAGCGAAAAATAATAATAATCACAAGGGTTTCAATGGGGTTCTTGCACTGTTACCCTAATTAAAGCCTCGCAAGTTCCACGTTTGCCTGAGGTGGAAGCAAACAAACACTGTGCACAGGCACAACAACATCAAAAGAACACAACAGCTTAACAACCATATCATTAATATGTGATAATTGAACACAGTTATTAAGCTGGAGCAAGAAACAGCATGTAGGAGCAGCATCTTTTGCTACAATTATGGCAGAAATACACTATTTCTAATTATTTTAAAATCTGTTTTGCTTTCTGGAAATGATTTCACAACCTTCCCACAGTGTCTCCTGACCCCTCCTCCGTCTCCTCCTGCCTCCGACCCGACCACTGCCTCAAATGAAACCTGTTCATTTGGATGTTTCTCTGTCCCTGTAGGTGTTTGTGAATTTCGCCAAGCAGCAGTCAAGAGAGGACGACACCATCGTGCTGCATCCCAAAGCTGCCGGAGCACAGCGATATATCGACACCACGCCCATCAAGCCTTTGGGGAAGTGAACTTTACCTCAACGAGCTCAGCCGGAAGAGAGCTTTCATTTGGGTGGCTGCCGTGTTCGCCGGCCCGTGGATGTGTGTGGTCTTTGGAGGACTGAAAGCTAATAGGCAGAAACGGAGCCTTCTTTTTAGCTGACACGATCTACAGAAAAATCACTGCAGTGTCACCACAAAGTTTCACCCCTTAGTGACAGGTCGGAGCCAGAGAGGATGAAGTAGTTGTGTTATCCAAGTCTGGCAAAAGAAGTCTGCATTTTTAATCCACTTTTGAAGGAGCCTTCAGAATGTTGATCCGTTGTCTGTGTGCATAACAGTGCAGCCTGTGAAGGACCCTTTAAACTGATCTGACATGTGTCAATGCTGCACAGGCTCTAATTAGCTTTTCCGGTAAAACAGGGTTAGTGGGCTTTGAGTTTGAACCGTGTGGAGCATTTGTGTGCCTGTTCCACATCCTGCTCACCTTTAGGCCTTGCACAATAAATGAAACAGAGATTTACAGTTTTGACAAGGACCGATGATTGATGGAACTCGAAAAACGCTCGACAAAGAAAACCGAGGTCCTTTTGCATTTCTGTTTTTTTTTTTTTTGCTTCAGATGCCAAGTAAGATTGTCTTTTCATGCCTTCTGTAGATAATTGAAGTGAGCACTCAGAGGCATAGTCGTAGCACTTTATTGATGCAGCAATAACTGACGCATCGCAGTTTTTACCAAGATATGAAGCAATATGCTAGCGTAATACAGCTAACTGTGCAAAATCCTTCTGCTGCTGTTGAATTCATTTGGATATATGTGACGTTTTTATGCCATAAATGTTTTGTTCAACCTTTGCTTCGCTTTGTCGTACACATGCGCGACTTTCAACCAGCACCTGGTGTCAATAGAGGGAGATGACACAATGTGGAAAAAGTCCTGTTTCTATAAGAAAAATCATGTCAAATAAAGTTTCATTTTTCTTAATAAAGTGGATTTTTATTCAGACATACATTCACTTTTATAAAAACATTTTCTAAAACCTGAGATTAGACAACATGAGCAAGAGAACCACAGCAGTTATCACCGACTACCTGATAAGGCCTCTACACGTTAATGCCAAACAGTACACTGTCCGTTTCTATTAAGAAAACACTCTGAGATATACATCAGCTTAATTCTAGCACGATCTGCTTCATCAGCGTTCCTCCTGAGAGCTTAAAGGTGGTGTTGCCACTCCTAAATGGATGCCATGACATTT